ACATTTAATGTTTAACTTGACTGTCTAACAACTGCTTTTCAGATGTCACATCTGAACAGATACAGCTACAATAAATTTAAGAACATATAGGAATATGTGCAATGTAACACTCTTATCAAATTGACAAATTAAATGTCCAGTGTGTTAAGTTCTTGAAATTTCTGTGTAATTTAATTTTCTGTGTAATATAATTTTCTGTTTTTCAGCTACCTAACAATTCAATGACCCTTTTAAAATATATTTAAAATTAGTCATATTGACATTGTGTTAGTAACACGTAAAGTTATTTATATTTTAAAAGAAAGAATCACAAAGGAGATACTAATTATATAATATTCTATAATAAAGAGTACTAAATTATGATCATAATTAAAACAAAAGGATTAAACCAGGCTAAACTGTAGGAGCAGAAAGGCACAATAAGGGGAAAATGAATGAAAGCAGAAAACAATCCAGACAGCCAATAAAGATTTTTCCTATTACCAAGGTATCACACACAGAGTTTCTCATAATGGGTCAAAAAGTGTGATAAGAAAAACTTCTGAGAACCCGATATTCACCCAGACTGTGTGCGTAAAACATTTATTGTCAGTTTCTGATGATGATACATGAAATTCAGGCAGCTAGATTGGTAAAGCAGACAGGTGATGGCCAAAACAGCTTGGTAACAGCCAGAATATAGAGGTGTTAGGCTTGAGGAGACGGATTAAGTTACATCCAACTGGTGACAGGCTTAAAGCTTGGTTTGAGCAGACTGGAGGCAGGTTGAACAAAGTAGGGGCAGATAGAGTAGTCCAGAGTGAGAAACCAATGAGAGTCCAGTAAGAGCAGGCTGAGTGAAGACACTCAGTCACAAGTTTAACATTGACTTTAGAGAAGAACCAGTAAGGACAAGATGAGCACAGGATAAGAAGAAGGGTGGCAATGCAGAATGACACTGAGTAATCCTTATACTGTACAAACAAGGTGTAGACAATCTGTCAAAGAAAGGCACGAAGACGCAGGTATAACAGGTGTGATTCAGCTGGACAATAAAATCAAGAGCAGAGCAGAGAAGTAAACAGACCAGAAACTTCTACAGAGAAAGAAAAAAATTGCTGTTAAAAATGCCCAGTCAGATGTAGAGCTAAATAATTTATTTATATATTTATGAAAAAAGCTTAAGATCAATCGCATTTATTTAAGTTATAAGACAGTGAGCAAGAATTGGTCAAAACCACATCTGAGAAACTGATGCAAGTCCGTTTTCAGTTAAGGCAATTTCTTGAAGTTGACATTACAACAAAGGTTGTATTGCTGAGTTTTGTGAACTTTTTCACAAAATTTGTTCAATATTACACTGTCATTCAACTGTCCTAAACATAACTTTATTCATGGTGTATTTTTTACTATATCTTTGTTTTCTGCAATACTTTGGGTTTCCATGATGCATGCTCAGAATTATATGTTATATTATATGTAGCAATTTGAATACATTTACAAAGAATAATGCGTTCCTTCCCCTCAATGTATATCCAACACCTCATTACAGTCAAGAATATGCACCTCAGGTATCTTTCTATCTGTTACACATTCTTGACAGAACTTCTGCCAACACCTTAAGTTGGCTTTGGGTTTTATGTAATTGCATATTTCTTTTCTCCTTAAATGTTCAAGGACTCTCTTTTAGCTACACAGAAGAGTGAATCTAAAAGAGCAATTGAGATGAGAGGATCCCATTCGATTGCCCTTCTTTGAAAGGATTCTCTGAGATATGCACATTGTTTGATGCAAAGCAAGATGAGAGCCTTGGGCACAAGATAACAGATTTTGTGGTGAATAGCTTGTTATCAATCTCATTGAGTCTTCTTTAGCCACATGTGGTTTCTGCTTCACTCTCCCAGCTACTTAGTATTCCACATCTTAAAGTTTGCTTAGCATTTCCCCTATAGCATGGCCTTACCAAAACAGGCGTAATATAGAAACAGGTAAAACCTCTGTTGATGTTAAAATCTAGAAATGAAGGAAGATAAGCCATATCCAGAGTCATTGTGCATCTTTTGATATATAACACAACTTGTATGTAGTTACAACAAATTATAAAAGTTAAAGAAGCTTGAAAATATTTAACTGGGTGAGAATTGAATGGGTTCTTGTCAGTCTCAAGTATTGTCCCCCCCATGCCACAAGCTTACTCAGGATGAGTTAAACTCCATCATATTTTAAATTCAGTGCCACAGATCTCAACAAAGATTTGGGATGGTGGGACAAAAAGAAAGTACTGTACAGGTAATTGAGAAATAAACAATGACTCAGAAAACAAAAACTTATACCTCAGTCAGAAAGGCACAGTCGAAATTACTAACAGTACCAGAAGATTACCTGTATACCGATAAAAGATTAAAAAGACAAAATATAAAACATGCTTCATATGGCAGAAAGTATGCATTTTCTAAACTTAGGCTGAGAAATCACTGCATCATCATAAAAACAGACAGAATGCAGTGTTTGTCTGAGTGAATGGGTGGCTGTCATGCACAAAATGGGCTTATGATATCAGTTCTGACAGCTATTAAGCCTGAGTTGAGATTTTCTGTGGTTCCTCACTGAAACAATGAAGCTATCAGCTTTACTGTTCTGAGACCTAGATCATTATATGGACAATGGTCAAGCAGGTCCAACATTCATGGGCTACTGTCTTCCTGTGAACACTTGCAGATGATGGTAGCTAATAATCTTAAAAAATGCACCATTAATTTAAAGTACTGAATGGGGAGAGAATTGGTAGAAACAAGGCGCAGTCTTCCAAGAAATAAAGGAGTCGATAATGACAAAGACTGAAAGGAAGAAAATGAGAGTAATTACGGTGCAGAGAGAAGTATAAGAGAAGTACAAAACATAATATATAATATAATATTTAGGAAGGCAAGCAAAAAGGCTTGGAGAGCAGAGCTTGGATGAAGAATGTCTTGCTTCAGTTGCCATGGACACCAAGTAGGCTGACTTTGCGCATTGCTAGCAATTTTCTTTGAATGGAAAACCCACACATTGAACAAGACATAGGACCCATTAACCACTCCACACAAAAGCTCACACAACCAACTCCCCAAGTAGAGAGATTTTAACTTAAACAACAGAGCAAAAACATACTTTGCTGTGATCAAGTACCAAGACTCCATCTGGGAACTTATTACAAGAAGGGATCAGAGGCAAAGTCAGGTTTATATAAATATATACATACACTATCTTATTAGTATTAAAGCTTAATTTCTGAAGAAATAAAAGGCTTTTAGAAACCTTTAAACATTTTTCTTTGACAACTGAACCCCAGAGTTTTCAAATATTTTAATGAAGGAACTGATTTTTGCACACAAAAAAATAAAAATCAATAATAATCAAGATCTTAAAAAGAGCCTGTTTGTTAATTTACTTTTGCATTTACTTGTAAACCTAGAAAATGTAGTAAAAATAGGATTTTTCAACCCCCTAGTATTTAGGACATGGATTCAGATGTATATATTACTAATCAAGCATCTCACTCTTTGAAATGTTCTTTAATATAGCCTTCTATATTATATTAAGCCTTCTTATTAACATAAAATCTGCCTCACTAAATACCAAATAGTGGCTTTAATTGTCATATTTAATCACAAGCCAAAGAAATGTCATTGTCATTTGCTTGACACACGATTTCTAAGTTTAATTTAACTCTTATTTGGAAGTGGAAACAGGCTTTCAAACAGTAATCCCTGTTTATTACATTATGAAGTTAATACCATGTCAACTTATTTCGTGGCTGTATTCTTACGAAGATGGTGACAGAAAAGTAGCCCTACATTTATTGCTTGACTGGCAAACTGCAAGATATGATGCCCAAGGCATCAGTTTAGCAACCATATGAAATAGTGTGTAGCCTATTTTTGTATTCTATTAGCTGGATTGATTGTAGATCGTTAAAGCTTAAAATGCATTCATGATGATTTGATTTACATGAACTTTGCATCAGATTCAAGTACAAATACCATTAATTACATATTAATTGTAGGTTGCATTCAGGTATTTTTAGTTCACAATTGTTTATAAGAGTCTCCAATCATTTGACAAAAGCTCAACACCAACACCGCAAATAAAAGAACCATGGAAGTGCAGCTGAATAAATTCACAGCTCATTATGGGTTGTATTTATGTGTGATGGAATATGACTACTGGGTCTTCTGTTTCTGGTGGAAGGAACACAAAAATCACAGACAGTGCAAGACTAATTATCTTCTTTTTCTATTCTAAGCATAAATTATCTTATCCTTTTTAGTCTTGACTTGTTAAATCACAACAAAAAAAGACTGCTAATCAAATGTGAAAATGCACACAAATTACAAAAAATCCACCTCTTTTTCATATCTACAAATTTTAAAAGATATAACAACAATATCAGGGTAAGTTTGAAAGAGCAATGCTCAAATGCAGATATAGAGGCATAGTAAAACATGAGGAAAATGATTAGATCAGAAAGAAAATAGCACATTAGGAACTCACTAATTGACACCAAAATAAGTGAAGAAACAAAATAAACCATGAAGGAACTAATGAAAAAACACGAACCTGTTATAGAAACAGAGGCAAACACAAGGATATTGTGAAAAAGAAATAGTTAATCCATGATACGATAATCACACTAGATTGCAGTGAGTAATTACCTTTTAAAACCTTTGTTTGAATTTGTTAAATGCTATTACCATACTACTATAAACAAGAAGATAAATTAAGATAAATTAAGCCCCTGCTTTTAAATGCATTGTGTGGCTCTATCGGAGACCGTATCTTAAAAGCATCAATGAAAATCCTAACTTTCTTTGTGATGAAAAATGCTGTCAATGACGATTTTCGGAGGTATTTTACACAAATTGAAAAAAAAAATTAATGGTTTTTGAGTGGGAGGCAGTCTTGCCCTAAAAGGCTGAAATGATTTCACAAACCGAAAAAAGGGGCTTCTGATTGGCCATGTGCAGGAACGTAAAACCACACAAGGAAGAGCAGAGATCGAGGCTTTTCATTGGTTGTAAATCTCGCAAATGCGGCTTTTTTATCCTCTTCTATTTTGAAAAAAATAAAATAAAACACAGTAGAGCTTTTTCTTTGTTTTGGATTGGTTCGTGGGTTAAATAGGAGGTTTTAGACACCGTCGTTTCCGTGATTCAAACGTTTTATTGCAGCGGCGGTACGCACACACATTTCAGCACCCTGGACAACGCACGGCGTCGCGGAGGTGGTGCGTGGATTCAACCGGTGGCTTCCAGCTGAGCAGCAGTGAGAAGAGGGTTTCACTTAGCGTCACATAAAAAAATAAATAGATAAAAACTGATTGTACTCCACATGTTGGAGAGTTTGCTTTCCCTCAGGAGCACTTGGATTTTTTTTTTCACGCTTTCACATAAAGAACTGTGGTGGACGACGTGCCTCTAGGTGAGTGGTTCACTCCAGAAACCGTGCTGACCAGCGAGGGATAGGTGCCGTCGAGAGACAGTTCATTTACAAGGATGCTGGTGGGAAATGCCTGGAGACAGAGATGACGAGATTTGTCAAAAAGCACTCGAACTCCTTTCAGATCTTTGCTCGAAGGGGGAAGTGCAGAACGAAAACTGTCTGGATTTCATCTACTATTTCCGAGACCTCGCCAGGCCACGATATTCTGATTCAGGTGAGGCTTCTTTTCCACGCATTCTTTCGGCGGAGCAGCTGATCTGAAGGGAATGTGACTTGTCATTTACCGAGTAAAACGTGAAATGTGTCATGAACTCTCGCGCTAGACCGTTTCTTAGCAGATATTTAATACATTTTGATTCATGTCCCTTACAATAACTTGTTTCAATTCTAAACTCAACTTGGAATTTAAGGGGGTGGTTTTAGATGATTGAGATTCACCAAAGGGAAATTAAGGTGCATTCCTGACATGGTTTCATGTAGGTACTCCTACATAGGATAATATAATTAATGCGGTCTTTATCGGTTGAGTAAACGTGTCTCTGTGGTCTTTTTGCTCCCTTTGTAGTTCACAGATCTGATTCTGACTCTAGACTTACTTATTTAAAAGTTGAAAGTCTTCTTTAGCCTAAAAGCATCAGGAATCAAGGAAGGGAACATGTTTATTTGTTCATGTAAACCATATCAGACTCAAAGCCGAATTTCAATAAATGATATCAACGAATATATTAGATTATTAAGGCTTTGAGGCATTGAAAGCTCACTTGGCTGACTTGGTTGGTTGAATGCGCGTGCGCAAAGGAGCAATAGATCGTGCTGGGCACAATTCCTGCACTCTTCTACAGTCAGTTTGGGGGAGGGAAAATGAGTGCACAAAGTGTGGCTTTTTAGGGCGTCATTTTTAGGTTTACTAATTTCCCCTTATATAAAGCTGCTTCTTTTTTGTCTATTGTATGATTTTTTTTTTTTTATCATAAAGCAAATCAGAGACATGAACGATCACAGTGAACATGATGATGAGTTAATGTTACAATAGTCTTCATTTCTCATGTAACAGGGTACTTTCCTCATAACAGAATGATTTAATTAACAAAGATCTGATTTAAAGAGCTCTATAGCTGGGATAAAAAACACTTATTTACATTTATTCCTAATGAACTTGTGAGTGTTGCTTTCATTTTTTTTTTTATTAGCCTTAGACATACTGATTACTTAGCTAATAATAACTGTTAGTCACTGTAAGCCACTGATCAAATATGTAAGACATTTAGTTAGACAAGTTTAAGATAAGCTAAACTATATGAGTGTTCACAGAAATTTCAGTCTTAGGATCTCTTTAAGCATCAGACCTCTCAGAAAAGACTTTAAAAACAGTGCCATTCTGGGTCAGACATAGCTACTGTATATGAGTGTAAAGAACTAGCTTATGCTTCTATTAAAGCTTTTCCCTCTTCAGCTTCATCAGTTTTAAAATTTCAGGATTAGTATGCTCACTTGTCCTGTACCCTAATATAAGCCAATACACAACATTTATTCACTTTCTCTCCTTTGTTACGCCAAAACAGACCTTGTAACATATGCATATATTAAAAACACTTGTATAGCACTGGGGACACTGAGTAGGAGATAACAGTTGTGCAACATACTTGTTGCTTTTCTAGGGCAGTACAAAAAACTTCTGCTTTCTATAATTATATTATATTTGTAGCTTACTATTGGCCAGCATGTCTTATAGGTTTTAAACCAAGCATCAGAGAGGATCAAAGGGGAAACCACTGAAATTAAAAAATCCTGTACCTGGAAACCATCTTTTAATTAGCAAATAGCAAAATACAGTAATACTGGTTATTATGCATTGAGAAATTTCAGAATAAGAAAGTACAAATACTTTTTTCACCACTTGCTAACCTCCTACACTATTGCACCTCTGAGGGTCTTGTGTACTAAATTGGATCCACCTTCTCTATTGTCATGGCGTCTCTGAGTCTATCCAGGTGTCTGTGGATCCCTCTTCCTTTGGCATTTTGCCAAGCTCTGCTCATTGTCCTCAGATGGCAGATCCCTCAGTTTCTCTATGATCACACTTACTCTGTGTTCACAAAATCTCACAGCACAGAAAGGACAGTTGGTCTTAGTTCCTTTGCTAACTTCTATGAGTGTGCTTACAGACAGACTTAGTAATACAGTAAGCAATGTTGCTCCAAGAAACAAAAGATACAAAATGTACAAAATTACATTCAATATATATATACTGTATCTATACCGTATATATATATATCTATACCGTATATATATATATATATATATATATATATATATATATATATATATATATATATTTTTTTTTTTTTTTTTTTTTTTTTTTACATTTCTTTCTTTCCCCTTGTCATTGGGTTGACAATCATTAAATTTAGAGGGTTTACTCTACTGTACAAATATAATGAAATAAAAATTGTACTGAGTTTATTATTCTTTAAATTTGCGAATAAGAAAAAAAGTCAAATTTGAAAACTATTTGTCCTGTTTATTTTTTTTTTTATTAAGTTTATATACAGAAATGCTACTATTACACAACAATGTTATTATTAAACAATAATTGACTGATACTGTATATATTTTTATAATTATTTAAGTACTATATCCACAGATTTTTTCAAATGTATTACAAAAAGCTCTATCGTTTCTCTGTCACAAAAAGCAACTAATGGCATGTTGCATACTCAGGTTAAGAAAACAGAATATGTGTGCATCACTGTCACCAGGTATTTAAAAATAGATAACACTTTGTGGATTTGGCAGATACTGCAGCTATAAGAAGAAAAAAAAAAAGGTTAAAGAGCGTGAGAAGACACTTACCGGTATGTGTTGGGCATGTTTAGATTTAAGTAGTTAACAAAGAGACAGTATGAAAACGGAATTACTCGCCCCATTTAAAGTTCAAGCAGCTTAATCCGAAGCTCAGGCACATATGGTGGCCAGAACATCAATAAATTCACAAGGGATACTTGAAAGTGGTGGACCAGTGCCAATTAAGCAGGCACATTGTACAATGCTAGATGACAAAGAAGTACAGCGTGTTTATTTCCTGGACAAAACCATTGCAAAACTACATCAAGTGACTAGCAAGGACCTCCTAGTTTATTATCTTAATGTAATACTTTTGTTGTGAGATTGGAAACAAGGCACCAGGAGTAGCAGACATGAAGAAACTAATTTTAAAGGACGCTTCAGTTATTTTTAGCAATCAAACTGAATCACAGTGGTTTGTATTCTCTCATTTAAAATAAAGTTTGTCATAAGTCTAAAGAATTATTGAAATCTGTGAGCATCTGGTTAGCTTTCAATGTGGTTAGCATATCCATTGACTCCTGGTTGGATTAAGCCCCAGTAAAACACATGACCGTAATTAATTAAAAGAACATTATTTTCTGGCTGAAAATAATGTTCCCTCATGTTGCTTGACCTGATACCTCTGGTGATATCCATTTTGAGGTATACATCTTTAAATCTGTTATTTATTAGTTACTTCAGGATTTTTGAGGATCTTTAGGGGTTTTACAATAGGCTTTGGTAACTGTTTTTGTGTCAATAAAAAAAAGAGCATTTTAGAATGAAAAATATTTGTAGCAGTTATTAAGTGTTTCATTTTTAATCAGTTTTCTCTCAAAATACTTCCAACTACAACATGAAAACTATGGAGGACCAGCTCTACCATATTTCAAAATAAATACAGAAATAAAAAAAAGCGTCTTAATTTATTCGCCTTTGTAATGATTACCTTATTTATTTATTGTTTGTTATAATCTTTAAATTTATTTATCAGTTACTTATTTTTTGAATTATTTTTTATGTGCATGTTTTACTATTTTTGTCTGTTTTATTCTTCTTTTGTATTTTTTTACTCTATTTTTTCAATCCGATTTATTTCTGCCTGTCGTTTTTACATTTCTGTATGCACTGCCCTTTTTACATTTCTGTATGCATTTCTTCCTCATTATGCAAATTAGGAAGGTTTTAGAGGGTCAAGTTCTGCCCAACTTCTAGTGCTTTTTTTTTTTAAATAAAGGCACTAGAGGGGTCTGAAAAGTTGGTAAATATAGCCACAGAAGCGTTAAGTTGGCGACACGGCTCTTCACGCCGTTTGTTTTCAAATGGTTTGCTGTTGTCTGTTTGGACCTTTCTGCACATGCGCAGGAAATGGACTGATCCCAGAGAAACACTTAATATTTTAAGTGTTCTGAAGGCATTTTAACGAAAGGATTTTGATCAAAAACATAATTAATATGTCACATAAGTAATAGCTGTATTAACCTTACATGTAATCAGAGTTTTAGGGGGCCCCCAAGAACTCTGGGCCCTAGGCAGCTGCCTAGTTTTGCTTAATGGTAAATACGCCCCGATCATAGTATATACATACAAACTAAAGCTAATTTCTTCCTAAAGCCAGTGTTTGCTGAGGAATTCATAACTGGTAATTAACGTATATAGTATTTTTTAATTTATAAACAAAAAACTTCACTTAAATAATGCATTTGGAAGATAATTTTTATTAAGAGTTAATAATATTTTCTGCTATTGTCAATTCATGTTAGCTTTTGCAAAGCTTCAGCATGACATTACTAGTGACATCATGGAGGCGCCTGGCGGCAGCGGCCTTATACGGCTCTCAATGAATTATAAGTGAAATCCTTACCTCATTTTGATTTCTTCTCATTTTTGTTCCTCTCAGATATATCAGTGAGTCTACTATCACTAGTGGTTACTGCCTGTGGCTTAGCCCTATTTGGGGTCTCCCTCTTCGTCTCTTGGAAACTCTGCTGGATACCATGGAGGGAACGAGGGCTTTCACCCATGACAAAGGAGGTCCAAGGGCACATAAACCCCACCATGAGCCCTCTGCCCTCACAGCCTGCACCCAAACAGCCAGTTTACACTGCCGTAGACCCGCCATTGCACAACCGCCGTAAGTCATCACATTGTTCTGTTGCCAAAGAGTCTACCCCTGTTGCCTCTGTTGTGTCAGTGGAGGCGCCCATGACTCCTGTGTCACCCCCACCTGTGGTGATGGCCACACCAGAAGCAGCTATGAAGATAAGCTATACATCCCCTGACATACCATTGGATGCTCAAAGTAAAACCCGGGAAAATGGAGTTCACACTAATCCTCGGATGCAAAGGCAGACTACAGAGCCAGCACCTGGTGGTTGCTCAGTCTCTGAAATGGGGTCAGTATGGAATTTCTGTTATTTCTATATCTTCATCATCACAAATACATTGTTTGTTTGAAATAATCTAAGAAGCCTATATTTCTCTTATCTTTACTGTTATTGCTGTTATAGTTCTATCTTAAACGAGGAAAAAAGATGATGATTTTTACTGTTAATCAGTCTTTTCTATAGTCATTCTCTAATTTGCTGAAATGTTTTGTCCACAGTCAAGGTTCCATTCGCAGGCATATGAACCTCTCTAATCCGGACTTCAATGTGGCACAGTTCCAAAGACAGGATTCCCTTACTGGAATGGGTCTTGGACTTGGCCGTCTCAAACCCGAACTGTATAAGCAGCGCTCACTTGAGGGGGAGGAAGCCAGTTGCAGAGGTGGGGGCTGTGGTCGCCTCCACTTTATTCTTAAATTTGACTGCGATTTGGAACAATTAATAGTTAAAATCCATAAAGCAGAGGACCTCCCAGCCAAGGATTTCTCTGGTTCCTCTGATCCCTATGTTAAGATCTACTTGCTGCCAGATCGGAAGACCAAACACCAGACAAAGGTGCATCGCAAGACACTTAACCCTGTGTTTGATGAGGTCTTCCTGTTCCCTGTGGCCTACTCTGAGCTTCCTACACGTAAGCTTCATTTCAGCGTGTACGACTTCGACCGCTTTTCACGTCATGACATCATTGGTCAAGTGGTGGTAGACAACTTCCTGGACCTGGCAGATTTTCCCAGGGAGACAAAACTCTGCCGTGAGATCCAGTATGTATCCTCGGTAAGTCAGCACTAATGTTCAGATTTCAGTTACATAAAAAACATTTATGCAGCAGGTATAAAATATTAATACAATAAATATTAATGACAAATAAAATCTAAAAACAATGAGAGACTTTAGAGAAATAACAGTTTTTTTAATGAGAATGTCTTTTAAATAGTGTGCCTTGTAAGGGCTTAATAGGGGGAAGAAGCACTGTTGAATTCAACTTCGAAAGCTGATTGTAGTACAATTCAGTGGACTAGTCCTTATGAGCAACAGAAAAGAGAAATGTTAGAAAATAAAATGCAGAAACTATAGCCTTCAGATATGTTTCTAACATAATCCTTCCTAATGTTAAGTGCTGCCAGACATACGGAATGACTCATATTAGTTTACGTCTCCTGACATAGTTCAATAACTTCAGCTTCAACTAGCCTCACAAACTCACCACAGATGCATATAAAACAGTTTTTTTTTTAAATCACAGTGTTGTCTATCTCATCTACATCCGCCTGAGTGAAGATTATTTCACTGAAAGCTGATATTAAGCAGTTATTTGATAGAGTGAATAACTATAATCAAATTCCAGCTTTTTGCTATTCTAGGATCGTATTTATCTGCTGCTTCATTTTCATTGGCAAGGCTATATTAAAAGTAGCGCAAGTAGCACACCTTAAACATTGCCTTTGATAAGATGTGGTTTTGATCCCCAAGGGTCATTCGTAGATTATTTGGTTCTACAGACATCAAGAAATTGGTCAAATCACATGCTTTGCTGTGAACACACCTCAGATCCTGAACATGTACAGTAAGGAATATATAGTACAGATTACCCACCATTACTTTCAAAACTGCATACAATTTGTTCTGCTCAACAAATTAGTAATCGACATTCTGTGACAAAGGAGGATTGTCTGGGACCAACAAATGATGCATATCTTGCAGACTTTTCAGGAAATCCCGCATCTTGAGATGTGACATGTTGTCAAGGTAACGACATACACTGTCTTCCCGTTTCCATCTGATGTTTGAGCTAGCAGAAACTATCAGAACCTTTTTCTTAGTAGTCCTATAACCCATTTTAACAGACACCCTTCAGCCAGTCAAAATCCAGTATTCATCCGAACCATGTTTTTTTCAAATAATGACTTTGCTTTCCAACTTTCAACACTTGATAAAAAAAAAAAAAAAATGGTTTGATTGAAGTGACTTTGCTAGTAGGAAGAACAGTACAGCCTCAAGAGGTAGGACGTCCTGAAAAGTAGCCAATCGCAGGTGGGTTGGCTTGTCTGCTGGATAACGCCATCATAGTGAAAGGAGTGAGCAGAATAAGGTCCACACTTCAGGAGGGAGGATGCACATGCCTGGAAATCAGACCACATGCCTACAGAGAAGATAAAACCCCTTGTGTGTGACACATTGGAGCACTTTGTCACTATATTTGTACATGGGTGGGAGGAATGGTTTACAAGTGTGTGGATGAAGTAAAGCTAGTATAGTATAAGGCAAGTATTTATGGCATGTGAACCTTTTGGGCAGAATCCTGATGCCATATTCCATAGACCTGAAAAAGGCATTCAAGTGTGTCCTTCATGGCACAGTTTCAGGTCTATGGAGTCAGTTGCCATATAATTGGGGCAATCTGGTCTCTGTCAAGTGCGGCAGGACTCTGGTCTGCAATGCTGGCATTATGTCTGACCTGTTTTCACTACATGTTGGAATCCAGCTGCATTGTTCTCCGTACCTTATTGTACAAGATTTTAGGGTTTCTTCAACCAAGGACTAGTGGGGCTCTGATTTGGGTACCAGAGGTCTGTATCTCTACATCTCGCAATTGATATGGTACTGGAGTCTTCCTCCTGCCAAGACCTACCGCATGCGTTGGAGCAGTTCACAGCAGATTGTGCAGTGGCCAGGATAAAGATCAGCTCATGAAGATAATCTCCTCCAAATACAAGACCATGATTCTCAACTGGAAAAATATGGTTTGTTCTCTTCTGGTTGGAGGAGAACAAACTTAATTTGACTTTCCTGCTGTGTGTTGAAACATCACCTGGATAAATTGATTTTAACTGCAGACACACTACCAGTGCTTTTGAAATTTCCTGATTTTTTTTATGTGTCTAGGTTTTTGAATTAAATGCAATCATGCACAATGCACAATCTTCTTCTTAAATTTGTTTGCTTAAATCAAGAAAGCTATCATTCCTGGGCTCTTTTCCTAGATTGAACAGAGTTGTGTCCTAAAACAGGTTTTCCTAACCCTGGTCCTTAGGGTCTATTGTCCTTCATGTTTAAGGTGTTCCTGTCTGCACACCCTGACCTAAAGAGAAAGTGATCAACAGGCTTTTACAGCATTTGATGGCTGCTGAGATGGAAATGTAGTCATTCAAATCCGGTGTGCTTGAGTAGGGACACATATAAAACATAGACAGTTGGCTCTGAGGACCAGGGTTAAGAAACCCTGTCATAAAGGAGCACCAGTCTTATGTGCAGAGAATATTTTATACAATTTATCTTATCCTTAACCTCCTTTGGAACTGACCAATTAACTGTCTTGTCAGACTAAGACACAGCATGAGAGTCAAAACTGCTGGCAACAATCAGGATTCAAACCTGGGTTAGTACCATTTGCTCAACATTCTGTGATTAAATACTTTACCACAAACACAAAATTTAATGTCTCTTGCAAATGAACAGTAAAGCTGCAGCTTCATGTGAACCAGACTCTTGGCATAATTATATTTTATGAATATTTGGCAAAGAGGAATTGATCTAATTTAGAATAGTTTTAGTGAACTGGAGTTTGCGACGCAGGTCAAAAACAATAACCATTTTTTAGATAATATGTGATGGTAGGTATTATTAGGGTTTTGAGTACATTTTTTCCCAACATCTAACAAAATTCCTCAATCTTTACTTTTTTTGATTTGTATTAACCTGAATCTCACAGTTGTGTCTGATATCAAAGTCATTGCTATGCAACAATACTGCAGAAAAGGGTGATGTACTAAATTGCAGCACAAAAGACATATGAACAGCAATGTAGACATGTTAATGCATAATTTCAATGAAGGCTTCTGTGTATATCACACTTAAAAAGCTGTACGATTTGTGGCACCCTTAAAAAATTGTATGCAGTGGTTTTCCCATTGCCCAAATATAAATATATGCTTACACAATCATTCAAAAGTATACTATAAGATTGAGCTTGATAGGCAATACAGGGATTCACAGTTTTCCACATCCTTCATTCTCAAAAGTTTCTTTCACACTTCCAGTCCTCGGACCGCAAACAGCTCAAAGGCTGTAGGCGTTGCTTGAGCACAGCCTGTAAGACATGTATAAATGCTTGTTTCCACAGAAGTACATATTTCTCTTGGATATTGCCCCTAGGATATAGTACAAAGATATGAAATTGAATAAATACCTCAGCACAAATGATTTGGTAAAAATGATGACATTTTCATTAAGTCTCATTGCCAGAAGGTAAGACCATAATGTTCCTCTTGTTGCCAGATTCAGCTGTTTTAGCTCCACAGCAGAAGCAGATTGCATATTGATGAAATAACATGTTATTTTGCTGATACTGAGTATCTAATTTGTAATACAAAGAAATTGTATCTAATGCTTTTGTTTTTTCCCATTTATATTATTGTTTATGAGTGTAGCCCGGGACCTCGGGTACAGTAATACAAAAACAGTTTGATTTGTACTCAGATGTGTTTTTAGAACAAATGTCAATATATTTCATTAAAGATTATATTGGCTGAAGGTACAGTTCCGGTTTATATTTAAATCAGCCTTATTAATAAATCAGGTTTATAATATAGAAATAAATGTTGACAATTTACCATCAGTTCAGTTATTCTTATAAAAGATTCACACTCCAAAAATGTACAGCTGATTCCTTTAGAAAGTCAGTCATGAAGGAATATTAGGTGCATCTTGTCTAAAATGACCTGAAGATTTTTATAGAAATCTCAGTTAAAAATGTCAGTGTGCTGGATATTTAGAAAATACAGCTAATTTATGGATGTATGGATGTATGGATGGATGGATGTATGGATGTATGGATGGATGGATGGATGGATGGATGGATGGATGGATGGATGGATGGATGGATAGAAAGAGGAAATTTTATTATGTAAGTTTGGAATTTAATTATGAATGTGATGATGCCGAGGAATGAAAAGATATAAAATGGAATACATCAAGAACTAAGCAAG